TTTATTAGATATTATATCCAATTACTTTGTTTGATTATTTTAATAACTTGGTGCCACCTATATGTGATATTTGATAGGTTTAAATATATTTTAATTTAGTGAATTTTACCATGTTATATTTTTATTTGCATTCTTTCTCTTTGTTTTCTGAATATCCCATTTTGGTTTTTTATTATTTAAACATTCAAAACAATGGCGTACTTGAAGAGTTGTTTAAAGAGTTGTTTTCTTCCTTATTTCATTTATTTTTTGTTATTTTGTATCTATTCTTTCGTTTGTTTGGCGCCTCTACGAACGATAAATGACCCCACTAATAATCTATCATTGCTATTCAACGGATACTTCGAATCATAGTGTACATGTGCTCTAAGATTAACTTATTATAATCTAGATTACTAGGTATGATACGAAGTCAAAGGAAAATAAGTACAATGAATGCGTGTTGCAGAATAGAAAATGCAAATGAGAAATATGAATAAGTTTACAGATAGAAAAAAAAATTGATAATTAAGTGGTAAAGAAATTCTAGGTATAACCACAATTATTGCCCAAAAAAAGTAAGTACAGGTGAAGATGGTTAGAGTACGCTCAATGACAAACACTTGGTAAAAATTACTTTATTTTTTTATCGGATGGTTACTATTTTTTCTAATATTTTTACAAATTTGATTTTTTTACATTTTTATTGAATGGTTATAATTTATCTTTGTTATTTATTTTTACCTTTACCTACCTATCGTTAGGCGCTAAGTCACAGGATCCAGCGGGCCATTTAATTGTACCCCGTGTACTTATCAGTCGATCAGGAAACGTTTGATTGTGAAAGTCAATAGTTGCTTTAGTTGCGAGCCTAACACCCATCCTGTTGAAAATAAACCTCTTGAAAATGAACGGAAAGGCGTTGAACTGCCGGAATGATCTCATTGTGTAAAAGTTGTAAATATTTGGGCCCGTTTAGATTTCCATTGATAAAAAATGGGCCGACAATACGGTCGCCTAATATCCCATTCGAAACATTTAACTTTCGCGGATGCTGCGTTCGCACTGCAACACTGAGGTAAGTATTTTTCCCAAAATGATACCTTTCAACGGATGTAATGAAAATGAAGATTAGTCAGAAAATAAAATATTTTTAAAAAAGCGTATATTTTCATTCTGTTTATCTAACATAAATTGACAAACCTCCATTCGCCTAAAGTTATCTTCCGGAAACAGTTCTTGTGTTGGTTGTATCTTAAAACAGTAATACGCATTTCTTTTAAGAATTCACTGGACAGTTCGAATATCCACGTTAACTTCTCTAGCAATTTGTACATTATTGCAATGTTCACGAGCTTTAACAAAAGCACAAATATCAATATCCTTGTTTTGACGCTCCTCTTCGACAGGTCTAACACGTGGTTCATTACCGTCATGACACTTTTTACAACTGTTTACACATCCCCTTTAAACTGTTGTAACGCTTGTTGGGGTCTATTTTCGAAGGCAACAGTAAATAAATCAATTACTTCACGTATCGAATGACCCTGAAAGTACTATGTTACAAGTTGCACTTTTTTTGGACGATATACAACGTAATAGGCATTTTATTAATTATTTGTTTATTTTATCAGAACTTTGTTTAAAATTTTTAATGTCAATGTGGCAATTACGACAATTCGTACCTACTCTGAAAGAAATATAGAGGTGGAAACGTGTAACATGTCACAGCGGTTGCCATTGTGTTGTATGGTCAATAAAACAATGTCGTGATCAGTTTAATATTTTTTTTTTCATAGCTAATGTTAAAGTGTTGCTATAACAACTGTTTTAAGTAGATAAAGTATCACTTTAACCGCAAGGGTAGATAAAGTGACACTTTAACAGCAAGAGTAGATAAAATGTTTTAATTTTTTTTATTCAATAAAATTTACAAATTCAAACACATTAAGGATAAAAAACAACTGAAATTTTACAATTAACATTATAGAAATATCTATTTTTCGAGCATCACAACTTGTACTCGTTTGCTTAAACACTTTATTCGAAGTACTGGATTGATTTTCTGTAACATTTGTTTGACATTTGTTAACAGAGTAATTCATATTTCTAGCAACGGAGCAACACAATTGCGATTTTTGTGCTGAAAATTACAATTTTCTTTGAAATTCTATTTTTTAACTGAACTTAAAGTTTTGCTATAGAAAAAAATGTTGTATTGCACACGACGATAAAATCGCATTATCTTCTCGAGCATAATTAGCGTCTCGACTGACGTCTCGAGGAAAAACGCTCTCGAAGATAAAGTACAATTGTATCGTCTGGTACAATAAATAAATATTTTCTTCAAACGTCAAATAATGATGACATTACTTATCTAACTTGATCCTGTCAAAGTTTGATGTCTCCGCCGACAGCAGTTTTTTTTTTCCCATTTCTTTACGGTGGAAGGAAAAATGTTGTCATGGAAACAATATGAAACGTGTCACAAAGCAACAATACAAATGTCATTAACAACAATTAAACATCATTTTTATTTCTAGTAATATTAAAAGTACAATTAGTTAATGAGGCATTTTCAAAATTGAAACAGTGCAAAAATGTTCCCAACTCTTGATAGGCATTGGTAATTGTTGATGATACTGATGGTGAAGAACAACTTTCAGCAATCATTCCCGATGTTGGCGAATCATGAGGGTTTAAAATTGTTTGAGCATTATCGTTATTTTTTATTGAATCCTCTATATATCCTTCGGCAACCGTGCTTGATTTCCAGCCCCCATGTCGTTTGAGGCATTCTAGATTTCCGCCTCCATCAATTAAAAGTGTTGCTGAAGTTCGTCGTAAAGAGTGACCTGTGTATGCGCTTGCATCGTTTAAATTTAAATAACTAGCTACTTTTTGGGCTACTGCGCTGATCGAATGTATTCCCATGACGCTTCGGTAACACTTTCCATTTTAGTACTTGATAAAAAATCGGTTTTCTGTGAAATTTTCAGGCCGCAGTGATGCATACTTTGTATACAGTTTAATGTAGTTTTGACCAATTATTGTAAAAGATCTAATTTGTCCTGTTTTACCGTTTGGTATTTTGATAATTATTACATTTTCTTTATCCTCAATGTCCACAGTCTTCATTTTTACCATTTCGTCGCATCGACAGGCGCCGGTAACCCCAATTAGCAAAACAATCTGACATATTTTTATAATTTAGTAGAGTATACTAAGTACATGCTTTGCAATATAATTTTTTTACCTTTAATCCTAAATATAACTTATCTAGCGCTTCAAACAAAAATTTATAAAACTCGTCTTTAGTGAAACTTTAGACTTCTTTGCAGTATATCCTTCGCTTGTTTTTTTTTTTCAGAAAGGCACGTAACTTTAAAAATTTGCTTATATCCACACTTTTTCTAATAACTAACTCGGATTTTATCATAGAGTATCGAGACCACATTGTAGAAGATTTCCATTTATTTTCATTTTCCATTATATTAAAATATGCCAGTAAAACGTCTTCGGTAACTTGCCGTACTCGTCTTGTATCGCACCACTCTTGGAAGTGCTTGTACGCTAACCGATACTTTATTCCGGACTTGGAGGGCCCCAAACGTGCTACTGCATCATTAGCCGCGGACTCAATTTCGTTTAGGTTTTCCATTTTCGCACTAAATTTGCGCTTGCGGTTGCAACAACAATAAGCTGTCTTTAATAATTGCAAACAACTGTCAAACAACTGTAACCAGGGAGACGCAAATCCCACCGACGACTTAATTATTTTAATTTCTAACATCTAGACGACTTTGTTAGTTATCACAGTTAATTTCGAGTAAAAATAGCGTATGAGTTGTACTATTATTTTATGGTTGAAAATTGCTACGTTTAAAGAAAAAATAGTATACTTTATTCGGCAAAGAAGCGACTTTTCTTGACTTGGCCTCTATTACGCACCTCACTTCGTTCGTCGCGTAAAATCGGGCGCGTCAAGAAAAGCCATGCTTCTCCGCCACATAAAGTAATATACTATTAATTGATATGTGATATAGGTATTTGAATATTTAATCATGTTACTAAATTTAATTTTTTTGTGTAGGTATAATATTTATTATATATTTGATATGATATTTAACTACTTTATTAGATATTATGTTTAATTACTTTATTTGATTATTTTAATAACTTGGTGCCACATATATGTAATATTTGATAGGTTTAAATATATTTTGATTTGGCGAATTTTACCATCTTTTATTTTTATTTGCATTCTTTCTCTTTGATTTCTGAATATTACATTTCGGTTTTTTGAGATTTAAACATTCAAAACAATGGCGTACTTGAAGAGTTGTTTAAAGAGTTGTTCTCTTCCTTATTTCATTTATTTTTGTTATTTAGTAGCTATTCTTTCTTTTGTTTGGCACCTCTACGAACAATAAATGACCCCATTAATAATCTACCATTGCTTTTCAACGGATCCTTCGAGCCATAGTGTACCGGTGTTCTAAGATTAACTTATCATAATCTAGATTACTAGGTATGATACAAAGTCAAGGGAAAATAAGTACAATCAATGCGTGTTGCAGAATAGTAAATGCAGATGAGAAATATGGATAAAATGAGAAAAGGCAGCAAATATTTGATTTCACGCAAACAAATCCTATGTATCTCTTGATACGTATTTCGACCTAATAGGTCTCGTCAGAAGAGCTATTCATAGGGGTTCTCAACGTGAAAAATCAATATTTTCTGCCTTTTAAGAAGCAACAATAACATGGCTTCAATACGGACGCACTAGCGACATCTAATTAAACAATCGTAAAATAGTTTCGAAACACAATTCAGATTTCTGCTTTATAATCTGAGCCTTCTAAAAATTGCAAGGCAAACAGACGTTGATAAAAGATGTTAAAAACTGAATTGTGTTTCGAAACTATTTTACGATTGTTTTAAATATGGATTTACTGATAGAAAAAAATAATACTGATAATTAACTGGTGAAGAAATTCTAGGTATAACCACAGTTAATGCCCAAAATAAGTAAGTAAAGGTGAAGATGGTTAGAGGATGTTCAATGACAAACTTATGTAAACATATTGAATGTAAACATTCCAATAATATATTGTATATATATATATATATATATATATATATATATATATATATCAGAATCATGAACTACCATATAAATAGCATAACCAATTTGGTTTATGTAGAATCCAATCCTAACATGGAATGATTTGATTCTAGAATATCTAAGTGACAGAGTAAAACTGAGTTACTGAGATAAAAAGTGACTATCACCAATAAGTATAATTGAAATGAAAGAAAAAATGCTTGTTCAAACTTGGTAAAAATTACTTCATTTTTTATCGGATATTTACCATTTTTTCTAATATTTTTACAAATGAGATTTTTTTACATTTTTAATGAATGGTTAAAATTTATCTTTATGTTATGTATTTTTACTTTACAGATCTTTCACCTGTTAAAATGCGACCATCCAATGGCGACACGACCACTATCGACGTCGATCACATGAACCTGACCAATACTAAAAATAAGAAAGTCGATGTTTCCGTCCAAACGTTACATATAGTACCTTATAGACTCCGGTTCGTTCCAGGAACGGATTGCGACGTAAAACTGAGTCCTTCCGAAAAGAGCTGTGCTCTTAAGTTAGCATGTTGCTGTAGATTATTTAGCCAATGGATTTTGTCGCAGATAGGATTGAGCATGATTTTAGTAATTTGGGCATTGCTTGGTGCGTATGCTTTTTTTAATACGGAAGGTAAGTGATATTTGTTACTCTTGATAATAAAATCGTAACTTCATCTCCGTTGTTGTTAGTACTCTTTTTATTAAATAACGATATTATTGATTTCGTCTCATTGATCTTCGCTTAATATTTAATAGTAGTTTATTATATACTATTAAATATATTTAATAGTATTTTTGTAACTATTCAATACAACAAATGATACATTATCTGTAACACAAACCATCCCTAACCACACACCACAAAACACTACATCTACAATAGACACAACCACTAACACTAATTTAACTCCATTTAAATACTTTAGATTACCGTTTATACAAGACCTAACACCGAAACTTACACGAATTTTAAATCAGCTGACGTTAACATAAAAATCTCTAATTACACAGTGTTAAACATTAATTCGATATTCACTAAACTGAAAGATCAAACACTTACAGATCAATTATCCAATATAGTCTATTGTATTCCTTGCGGAAGTTGTAACAAACAATATATTGGTCAAACCAACAGGCACCTAAAAAGTCGTATCACTTCCCACAAGAGTGACAGCAGATTATATCCTGATAGATGTTCCCTTGCAAAACAGGTAGATAATGAACACCGTGTAATGAACTACAGTAAAACAAAGATTCTTGCAATGGAGAATAATCTCAATAAAAGACTCTTCCTCGAGATGGCATTAATTACCCAAATGGATAACTTAATAAATAAGAAATCAGATGTTGAGCATCAAAGTGAGATTTATGCTTGTTTATAACATACCGAAAAGCAAACATAACTATTATATAATTAATGTAACACAAAATGTAATTTCAAAATTTCCAAAAATAAATTTCATCTAAAACACATCTTTACAGTGTATCCCAATCAATAAACAACTACTACATTTACACCATGGAACTAATTATCTCCTGGCATAAGTCAATCAATAACATTCGATATTTGGTATTTCTGGTACTACCTTAATGACAGTCTCCGAACTAAACATTTTTGTGTTTGTTTTGTTTTTAATTTAAATCGTTTTTGTTTCTAAGATTTAAATTGTGAACGTAAATTATACAACTACATGTTACATGTCCAAAATAGCTGCAATCTACATTGTACCCACAAACCAATTTGTTGTTTAAAATAAATCATATTGCCGTTAACCTCAATCAAGTAAGATATAAACAACAAACAACTATTGAATGTATTTTACCATGTTTTTAAATAATTGTAGCTCTCATCTGATGATGCCAATGAAAATTGGCGAAATATATTGGACTGTTGAACAGAGTGCACTTGGCTTTTTATCAGCTGTATACCAAATTAACCTCAACCCCCTTTATACATATATATATGTATATATGTATATATATATATATATATATATATATATATTTTCCTCATTTATATATATATATATATATATATATATATATATATATATATATATATAAATATGTATATATATATATATATATATATATAAATATGTGTATATATATATATATATATATATATATATATATACATATCCATATCTATATCCATTTTCATTATAATTAGTACTTTATTGCAAAACTGAACCTGCATTTAACATATTTATTTATATATAAGTAATGGTAATATTGTATCATAGAAAATATTGATTACTGGCTTAGTCAGACTATTAATGTTAGTATTGACTTTAAAATTGTACAACTTTTGATAAAAGGATCCCTAATTACCTGTTTTGTTAAAATTTTATAACAAGAAGAGATAAATATTTAATGGTATAAACTTGTTTAAATAAATTACTTTTTAATGTCGCTGTTTGATATGTAGGTATTACAATTAAACATATTTCATTCTTCTTCTTTTGCCGACCCTTACAGGATCTTTTTAGAAATATTGAAAAACTAGGGCGTCCACACATATTTCAACTAAAAATTTTCAAGGTGAAAACATATCAATACAATACAACAGCAATAATAATAAGGTTCTAAAACTATTTTCTTGCTGCATGTCTAATATAGATATTGTTTATATGGGATTATCTTTATCTTTTAAATATTATCTTTAAATGGGACTAAGCCACCATTACTGGTTGTAAGGAAAATTATATTTTAAACTACTAATGTTTGACGTTTCAACTTCCACTCAGGAAATCATTTGCAATGTACAATAAGGTATGTGAGCCTTGATGATCTGAGTAAAGCGTGTCACAAGGGTAATAAGAATAAATGACAATATGTTGACATTGGATTGGTACCAAAACCCGACAGCATCAGGCAGGTATATAAATTACTATTCAAATCATACTACCCTTAAAATTATAATACTCTCCCCTTTATTAATGGTCTAACTCATTCTGTCATATCCATATTCAAAAATGTTCATAATATTAGTATAGCTAAATATAATACCATGAACACCAAACAACTATTTTTAAAAATCAAAGATCCAGTACGAACCTTGTAGAAAAGTAATGTTGTTTATGAAATACCGGGCCTAGGATGTCAAAATAGCTACATTGGCCAAACATCACATTGGCTAAAACAACGTAACACATAACATAAAAGTGATTGCCGCTTGGAAAAAATACTCGCGCATTAGTTAAGCACTATGAAAACTCCGGTCATATGCTAGACTATAACAAAGCTCACATTTTGGCACAAACGGACAACTACAAAAGTAGAATATTTCTTGAGATGTATCACATTACCAAAAATAAAAACACTTTAAATTATAAAACGGACACTGGACAGTTAAATAACAGATATTGTAATATATTGAACAAAATTTATAAATATTCAAAATAGCCAACATCCACCTTAATAACAACTTCTTCTTCTTGTGCCGTCTTCTAACGAAGGTTGGTGATCACTTCTTTAAACGCTTCGCGATCGTTTGCAACGTGAAATATCTGTTCAACACTGAGGTTAGTCCAATCTCTGATATTCCTCAGCCAAGATTTTTTCTTTCTTCCCAAGCCTTTTCTTTCCTCTACTCTACCTTGCATGATGACTTGTAGCAGAGAGTATTTATTGTTTCGGAGTATGTGGCCCAGATACGATGTTTTTATTATTTTAATTGTGTTCATAAGCTTTCTGCCATGTCCAACTCGTCTTAACACTTCCTTATTTGAGACTTTTGCAGTCCAAGGAATCTTCAAAATACGCCTATATAGCCACATTTCGAATGCCTCCAATTTTTTTATAGATTGGGCTTTCAGAGTCCAAGCTTCTAGCTCATATAGTAGTTGCGACCAAACATAACATTCGACGAACCTCAATCTGATGGCCATACTCAATTTCTGATTTGTAAACATTGACTTGTATTTTATAAAGCCTTTTCGAGCTATTTCTATTCTGACCTTTATCTCCTGCTCTTGATCCAACTGTGAGTTTATAATTGCTCCGAGGTATTTATATTTGTCGACTCTCTCTAGGAATTTACCCTTCAATGTCAGTTGTATGTTGTCAACAGTGTTTTTTGAGATCACCATGTATTTGGTTTTATTTATATTCATTGTTAGTCCCATCTTTTTGCTTTCTCTGTTAATGATTTCCAGGAGAGTTTGAAAATCGTTTATATTCTCTGCCATGATTGCGGTATCGTCTGTAAATCTTATGTTGTTAATGATGCTTCCTCCAATCCTTACACCTTCAGTTCTTTCCCATAGTGCCTCCTGAAATATTAGTTGGGAGTACAAATTAAATAATTGTGGCGACGGCAAACATCCCTGTCTGACTCCTCTTTGAATTTCCACCTGGTTTGTCTCACTATCTTCCACCCGTACGACCGCTGTTTGATTGTAGTACAGATTTTTGATTAAATTAATATCCTTGGGATCTAGGTGTATATATTTCAATGCATGTATGAGTTTCCCATGTTGGACTCTATCAAAAGCTTTGTGGAAATCTATATAACATTTGAATACGTTTTTATTATATTCCCTGCATTTTTGTAATAGTACCGTTATTGCACACAACTAATATTAACAAATAACCGTAATAAATCATCAAAGGAATATAATTCTTCTAACGTTGTAGAGCATGTAGGTTAATTTCTTAATCACTCGTCACCCTCTTGATCATTTATCCTCAACTACCCAATTTAGTCCTTATGGTTAAAGTTTTCCCTTAGTCGGGCAATTCTCCAGAACTATATCCAATATCTTTACTCCCTCTTTTACTATTTAAGAATATAACTCTCATTATATTCAATTTTATATCTCTTGTTCCCCCAGTTCATTAAATAATTTGTCTTGTTTTAAAAGGTAATTCGTCGTAAAAATAACATTACAGTAATACACTTTCCACACACATATCTACTAAAATATATTTTCCCGGCTACGTAATGATGTATCTTTTTAACATAAAGGACCGTACTAGTATCCAATAATTTTACATTCACTCAATTATTACAACTAAAATCTACCACATAGTAGTATATTATATTAACAAAGATAGCAAGAAATTTCAACAATACAGTAACCTAAAATTGTTATAATCATCTGTAGCACTTGCCATATACGGAGTCAATATCACAATATATACTTTTAATTAAAATTTATCACAGTCATAATGTGGTCTGTTCTTGGAGCTCTGGAGATCTCATTTTTTCTAGCTGTACAATTATTTCATCAACATTTAGGTATACCAATATTTAGTTACAAATCGTTTCTTAGCTTAATAATTTTATTTATCAGACATTAATTCTATTTTTTTTTTCTATAATACAATCAGCCTTACATAAACCAAGTTACAATTTATTCTCTAACATTCAAGTACAAACCGGTGCACCGGTACACTCAATGAACAAAAAATTTTTCCAGGCACCAAATGTTAATTTCAACATAAAGGGCCTTAGTTTTATCCACACTTAAAATTAATCAGATTTCATAGTTAGAACCAACTACATAATGGTACACACATAATTTCATACCCTGAACCTTAATCAACCTTTGTTTCCAATAAAATAAATTCCTTTATATCTAATAGTGTTTTATTTTATACAATTTAACTATTACTCACATATACACTACAACAACATCTCATTTTACCATATACTGGCCAATAAATACTCCTCATTAAATTATAATTAACTTTTTATTGTGTTTTTACATTCATACATAATTTTTTAAATATATTATAAAATATATATATATATATTATATATATATATATATATATATATATATATATATATA